CATTTCTCTCTCCGCCCTTCTATTCATCTCACCTGTGTTCATTGGCTAGGTTGGCATAATAAACCTTAACTATCACACTGATCAAGCACAAAGTGTATCAAAAGGGAGATCAAGGGACAAGGTTTTAACGGTTCAAGTCAGATTCATCATTTTAATGTACTTTAGTTGTCTCTACAATCCTCTGTCTGATAACCAGATTATTTCCATCCCTCAATTATTCATTTCACAGTTTAAATAGTTTTCCTGCTTTATGTGATCTGTCATAATTATGGGCATTTTAGAAAAGTTCACAAGACAGCTAGCAATGTCTGTATGCCACATTTCATTACCTGTGAATAAAGGTCCATAGTATTATGTTTCAAAAAGAGACAATCAAGCCAGTTGTCACCAAGTCAACTCATGGAGACCCCTTGTGTGGTAGAGTACAGCCTTCATAAGGCTTTTGGTGGCTGACTTTTCCAAAGTAGATTGTGAGGACTTTCTTCTGAGGCACCTCTTGAGGGGGCTCCAACTGCCATCACTTCAGTTAGCACCTGAATACACTTACCAATTGCCCCAAACAAACTCACTGCCATTGAGTCTACACTTCAACTCATAGGGTCCCTACAGGACAAAGGGCAACTACCCTTGTGGCTTTCTGAGGCTATTCATCTTTACTGGCGCAGAGAGCCTCCTATTTCTCCCAAGGAGTGACTGGTGGGTTTGAGTTGCTGACTTTGTGACTAGCTGCCCAACTCAACCCACTACACCACCTTTGCCCCAGACAGAGACCTATTGATTGATATTTTGTTCTCAGTTCAAAACGTTTATTTAAGAAAGTATCCCATCCTTACCTGATTTGTTCAGATGGACTACATTGCCATTTCCCATATAGATTGCCCAGTGCTTGTAGGCAACCCGAGAAATTGCGATCAGGTCTCCAGGCTGTGGATCTTGGCATGACTGCAACAGAAAAGAGAGGAGAGGGGGGGCAGGTGGGTGGGAGAGAAACACAAACTGGGAAACACCAAAGACCTGGCTCAGGGGAGATGCAGGTCAGAGGAGACACTCATTGTCTCCAATAACTGGTAAGAACTCGAAAGAGTTCTTCGATGACCTGATGATCATTAGAATGCTAGCTTTTCTGATACTCTCAGAATATTGTCTTAGTGGGCATCAGGGTAAGAAGCCTGGAAAGAGGTCACCAAGAGTTGAAGGGCTGGATTTGCTCCTGATGCGTCTGTTTCATGGGCACCTGTGTACATGCCCTGAGGTAGGCCTGGTGGCTGCTTTGATTTGTACAAATGCACACACGTGACTGTCAAGAAATCAAATGGTGTATTGCATTGGCCACATCTTCTGCACAGGACTTCTTTAAAAGACTGAAGAACAACGATGTCACTTGGTACACAAAGATGTACATCTGTGGTATTTCCAATCACCTCGTGTGCATTCGAAGTTGAACAGCGAATAAGGACGATCACAGAAGAATGGATGCATTTGAACAATGGCGTTGGTCGAGAATATCGAGAGCACTGTAGACTGCCAGAAGCTCAAACAAGTCTGTCTTGGAAGAAGTACAGCCAAAATGGCCCAGAGAATGGAGGAGGGTGAGACTTCGTCTCGCATATAGGACATGTCATCAGGAGAGAACAGTACTGAGAAATGGATATCATGCTTGATAAAGCATGAAGAGGGGAAAGAGCCTCCAAGCATTGGATTTGACCCAGCGGCTGCAAGAATAAACCCAAGCCTAAGCACTGTGAGGATGACGCAAGGTTGGCGGTGCTTTGTTCTGTTGTGCATAGGGTCACGGTGAGCTGGGTCCAACTCGGTGGCACCTAACAACCACAGCATACGTGCCTCTGTCTTTGTGTGCAAGACTAGAGCGCCTGCATTTATACATGTCTTCATTAGATTAGGGAAGCAAGGCCCGTCCTGGATGAACTTTGAACTTTGGCTAAGGAACCATTTCCTTCTCTGTAGACTCACCCTCGGGCACAGAATCATTCTTTTCGCCCCAGGGTTGTTCAAACTACCTTCAGTAGCGTCCGCCAAAGATTTCCTCCCCAAGCTCTGACCATTCGTCCCCAGGAACTGAAATCCCGAGAGATACAAACGGAAGAGTTCTTAAGGATACCGAGTAAGGTATGGAGCCAGTGTGGTGACCACAACTACCGTGAAGCTGACATTCATACAGCACTCCTCAATGGTGGCCCATGACATCAGTGGCGAGGGCCTTACGTAGAGAGCATGACTCTTCTCTCCACTCAGTTTTGTCTTAATCCTGCTCAGGTATAATAAAATCATTAACTATTTCTCTAAATGGGAAGGCTGATTAGTTATATCAAAGTGCAAAAAAATTATTTTATCATCATTTTAGAAGAAATAAGCACTTGTCTGAAAGGAAATGTAGACCACGCTAGACAGCACAAGACCTTTCCCAGGGACACGTGCCCTTCTCTAGGAAGGAGACACACTGTTGGCCCTCTTCCATTCCCAGAAGACACTACGTCACAAAATACACGACAAAAAACAAAACAGAGGACTCCCTATATCCCTAGGAACAACTCCTGCAGGTGGGGCCCACGCATCGATAGTGTGTGGACCAGGCCTTCGAATGCTCTTGGGTGCAAGAAGCAGAGCTAAATGGGCAGTGGACTCAACAACTTGAACTTTCATTGTCTCAGTAAGAGAGAAACAAACGTTTCAGCTGAACCTGAACCAAGTTTCAATTCATCAGCTCAGCATGGCCACCAAGAATCCAGATTCTTTCATCTGTCATATTGGTCTCCCTTGTCTACAGTGATTCACTGCATGGCTTGCTGATTCACTGCACTGATTCAATATGGCAAATGCCACCGTTTTATGGACTATCTTCAACATTTGTCTGTCAGTTCGTCGTACTGTGGTGGCTTGTGTGTTTCTGTGATGCTGGAAGTTATCTCCTTGGTATGTTCAAATACCAACAGGGTCACCCCAAGTGAACAGGTTCCAGCAGAGCTTGCAGATGAAGAACAGACTGTGAAGAAGGAATAGGCTGTCCACTTCAGAGTAATTAGCCACTGACAACCTCATAGAGAGCATCAAAGCACTGTCAGATACGCAAAACCTCATGACGAGCAGGAGAACATTGTCAGGGACAGTGCCGGAAGTTGAGGCCCTAGGGTCAGAAGACACGGTAAATATGACGGAAGAAACGCTGCCTTCTCAAAGTAGAGTCGAGTATAGTGACGGAGGTGGAGTAAAGCCCTCTAAGGAGCTAAGCTTTCAGGACCATTTGCTAATGAGGTATGGCTCAAAATGAGAAGAAACAGCTGCAACCATCAATTAATAATTAAAACTGGAAAGTACAAAGTAGGAACATTGGAAGTTGTCAAAAATGAAATGAAACACACAAAGATTAATATTCTGGGCATTAATAAGCTGAAATGGACTGGGGCTAACCATTTTGAATGAGAAAATCAAACGGTTTGCTATATCAGGAATGATAGATTCAAGAGGAATGGTGCCATATTCATCCCCCAAAAGTTTATTTCAAGATCTGTCTAGAAGTACAATGCTGTCTGTGACCGGATATCTATAAACCTAAAAGGAAGCCCAGTAAATACAACTATGATTCAAATGCATGCACCAACCACTAAAGCTGGTGATACAGAAATTGAAGAATTCTACCAATATCTTCAGTCTGAAATTAATAAGACATGTAACCAAGATACAGTAATAATCATTGGTTACGGGAATGCAGACGTTGGAAAGAAACAAAGGAACAGTAGTTGGGAAAAGCTGGAGATAACATGAATGGATTTTGTAAGACCAAGGACTACCTCATCACAAATATCTTTTTCTTTTTTTCTAAAGGTATATGTAACATTAAAACTTTATTGTTTTGTCAAAAAACCATGATGAAGCTTGGAACTGGATCACCTGGCCCTTTCTCTCATCTCCTCCCAGTCCAAAAGGCTTGCGTCGCTCAATAGCCAACGTTCTCTTAGAGCTGCAGTTGGGCTCAGCACGTTCAAGCCTCAGCACGATCTTCTTTGTAGCTTTAGCCTTCTTCCGGAAAACTGGCTTAGCCCGCCCACCATAGCCGTCCTGCTTCCTGTCCTATCATCGCTTTCCCTGGGAAATATCTGTTGAAATATCTTTTTCAACAACACAATCGATGCGCTGGAATGATGGTGTCGGGGAAGAATACTGAAAGTACCATGGACGGCCAAATCTGTCTTGGAAGGAGTACAGCCAGAATGCTCCTTGGCGGCAAGGACGGCAAGACTTCATTTCCCGTCGTTTGGACAGGTCATCAGGAGAGACCAGTCCATGGAGCAGGACAGCATGCTTGGGAGAGGAGCAGGGGCAAAGGGGAAGACCGTCAACAAGATGGACGGACACAGTGAAGGCAGTGATGGGCTCAAGCATATCAACCATTGTGAGGTTGATGCAGGACCCGAAAGTGTTTCATTCCGTTGTATGGAGGCTTGCTATGAGTCAAAAGGCCTTGACAGCAACTACCATCAATAACATGATGCCGAACAGGTTTTAGCAGAGTTTCCAGACTCAGACAGAATGGGATTGGAGGCGGGGGGGTGGAGGGGAGGGAAAGAGTTGATCTACTTCCAAAAATCAGCTCATGAAAACCCTATGGAGCACAATTGTTCCATTTGCCACTGACCACGGGAATGTTGCAGGCTCGGGTAGCTTCCTTCCTGTTCCACTATACATGGAGTTTCCGTGAGTCAGTTGGTGCCCACTTGACATCAGCTAACACTATACTACTAAAATGAGAATACTATTAATACTGTAGTACTGATATGCAGTATTAAGGTGAGAAATGCTATGCAAGCTCTACTGATATTGTTCCAAGCCCCCATCTCGATTTCCACCCCAAGAACAACCCTGGTAGAGAGAAGGGTCACCTTCGTGGGGCCTTACCAATTTGCATCTAGGTAAGCCGTATCTCAGATCAGTGACAAAGTTCTCACTGTTCTTACTTAGAACTTGGTGTGTCTTTTGGTCACCAATCATCTTCTTTGCAGAACTGAGGATCTTATCAACAGGCTGTGGTCGGTACTGATGGTCCAAGAAGTTGTTGACCCGGTAAAGGCAGCCCCATGTCACCTCTTCCAAGGGATCCTTTGCCACCACAACGTTGCGACTCAGAAATGTGAACATTTTGGAAGAACCAAAGCTGGGAAACTCACCTGGGAGTCAAGGAAAGATCACGGGACAGGTGGAGTAAGCAAACGGAAGGCGGGAGAGGAGGGAAAAAAGAAAAAAAGAGTGTGGGGTATTCACCTTTTCACAGAGGTGACTGACAGATTCACTAATCTCATTCTCATTGTTGAACGAGATGCCTTGAACAATGGTGTTGTTGTTAGTTGCTATTGAAGCGTACTCTGCTTCAGGGCAACGCTATGCCTAACAGAAAGACCTTTCTTGGGGACTAAAAGAATTCAATGTATGATTTATCAGCGACTCACACATTTCCCAACTCTCGGGATAGATGACAATGTGTACAAAGCCAATAAAATATAAATGACTTGTTCTTAATAGTGGTGACACCATGTTTCCCCCGGGCCTATGCAAACGCTTGGTGGAGAAAAGAAAGTCAAAGGTCTGGTGTCTTTGGGGCGTAGGGTTTGAGTGGGTTGGTATCGGATTTAGAGCCTCATTCCTGCACTGCTTGTTTTCCTTCCTTGACCCTACACGCCTCCAGTTCCTGCGTTCCCCTGGGACTGACTTTGTGATTCTGCTGCTTCTGTCATTTATGAGTGAAGTAGTAGTGAACAGCTAACTGCTATGTATTTGCCAAAGAATTCAGGTGTTGGGAGTATGTTTCTGGAAGGATGTCTTCTGTTCAGGAGCCTCTGTTACATAATATCAACACACTTTGTTCTAGAAAGGCATATACTTGCAGAAAATAGCATTGAGAGTCTTCTTATATAAGGTCTTAGACACTGTGCTCTAGAGAAACGCTATGCCCTAAGTCAGAGGAGCAGAGTCCACAAGACAGACTGGCTCCACTTTCACTGGAGAGACGAGCATGGTGATGCAGCCTCGCTCACTGTGGGAGCCGAGGAGCCTGTCCTTGCTTCAGAACCCAACACCTGAAATACATGGTGCTGACCCAACGGAACATGCAAGTACGACCTGCTGACATGCTGCTCAGAGAGACAGACCATCAGGCTCACTTCAAACTTCCCTTGTTCAGCTCTCTCTTGTTGTTCCTATTGTCTTATAGCAAATAGTGAGAAAATGGTATTCTGAACAGTTCTTACTTGGAGGAGCCAGATGGATCACATTACCGTCTCCCACATAGATGGCCCAATCTTTGTAGCCAATGTGAAAAATCTCAATCAGGTCTCCAGGTGTGGGATCGTCACAAAACTGCAACAGAAAAATACAGCGGTCATACACACAGCCATTGAGGGACGTTTAAAGGCCATCATGGAGGAGCTACCTATCAGCCTTGAGTCCCTACTGCTGTTGTTGTCCATCCCACGGTGAGAGTCCAGGTAGCAGAAAAATCCTATCCCTCAGGGACCCTCATTCCTGAAATCACTCCTAGAGGCTCCCTCTACGGGACTATCAGAACAAGAAATTTGGTAAATGACCCTTGTGAGAAAGAAAGTTTGGGCAGGATGAGTGGGTGTTATATGTATGTGTGTACACACACGAAAATCAGATGTGTCTATACAGGTGCATTTATACACGTGACAAAGCACATTGACAAGGGAGTCTTGCATAGACAAGCACCTTCACTGCTGTCCATCTGGGCCCATCATCAAGGTGAATCTTAAGGGTCTCTGCTCTTTGAAGACAGACCTCAGTGCCTCACCATGTCCTCTTGTCCCATGATTCTCCATGTTCATGTGAAACTTCC